ATATATATATATATATAATATTCATTATATGATATACAAAGGTACTTATACTCAAGGCTCCCTGTGCCGCCAAGCCACCAGAGCCCTGAACTGCCTTTGGGCGAGTAACCTTTCCCTCGTCTTCGACGAGAGCCCGAAGTCCAAGGCCCCGATCGGGGACGCCTCTGCTCTGTACAGGGTCGGGACCAGCGGCCTCTTCGAAAATATCAGCTGCACTTACACATTTCTCCAGTCCTCACCCAGAGCGGTAACCGTAAGTATTACAAACTGCTATGACGACGTCTCATGGAAGTTTTTCAGAGCAAGGCCCTAATCCGCGACGGTAATGCTAAAGGCAACCTCCCATGTACTTGCAGTGGTCAGCCTCGTCTGGCAGTCCTGCCGCGGGACGTCGCAGCACATACTGTAGCCAGCTACTGTAGTGCAGAAAGCTCTGCTGTGTAGTCTACCTTAATGATGCGATGACTGCGTCAACGCATCACAAGACAGGTCGTACCAACACATCGTGTGCAGGATACAAACCACCAAAAGTTGTGCACGGTAGACATGAGCATACCAGTGCAGTATGTATGTCTCAGAGCAGAACACTAGTCATGATCATGAAACATGCTAGGGGCGATCAGCACAGCAAACAAGCTCAGGAGCACTGGGAGACTATGTTCTCGAGTTCTCGTAAGCAGGTACTAGTGACGTGTAGCTCATCACCATCCCACCCTATGAAAGCGGTGTCATTCCCAATGTGTCTCTCGCAAGAAGAGCCAATGTCCTTACGCCCCATCCTGCAAGGTTCCAGATTCCACGACAAAGGTACACATTTACCTGGACAGGAAACAGGTACATGACGACAAATACGCAAAACAGGAAGGGCTAAGCGATGACGGTGGTGCGTCTGTTTTGCAATACGACGCAAGCAAGGCAAACAACTGAAAGTAGAAGCTGAGTTCCCTCGTCAGTCATAAGCTTCTGAATTGTGTCAGGTCAACAACGGCCGCTCCTCTGCTGCTACAGCAACTGCGGCTTCGGCTGTTGTCTGCTTCATCCTCTCTTCGTAACAGATTGCGGCCGCCTCTGCTGCTTCTCTGTTCTTTCTCTCTGCTTCTCGCATGGCGGCTGCTTCCGCAGCCTGTGCGGCTTCTCTTCTATGTCGCTCTTGCTCAACTTTGAGAGAAAGCTCTGCTGCAGACTTGACTTCTTGTTGCCTTCGCTCCTCCTCAGTTTTGGCAGCTGCCTCGGCTGAGTCCGCAGCTTCCTTCTTTCGTCGCTCCTCCTCAGTTCTGGCCGCAGCTTCTGCTGCCTCTGCCGCTTCCCGCTTCTCCCGGGCAGCCGCCTCTTCAGCCTCTGCAGCTTCCCTAATTTTCCGCTCATGCTCAACTCTGAGAGAGAGCTCTGCTGCCAGTTGACTTTCTTGTTGCCGTCGCTCCTCCTCAATTTTGGCAGCTGCCTCGGCTGCCTCCACAGCTTCCTTCTTTCGTCGCTCCTCCTCAGTTCTGGCCGCAGCTTCTGCTGCCTCTGCCGCTTTCCGCTGTTCACGCGCGGCCTCCTCTGCAGCTGCTGCAGCTTCCTTCTTCCGACGCTCGGCTTCAATCTTCACAGACGCTTCTACTGCTGCTGCAATTTCTCTCTTTTTTCGCTCCTCCTCATTCCTTGCAGCTTGCATGGCTGCCTCCACGGCTTCCCTCTTCTTTCGCTCCTCTCCAACCCTGGCAACTGCCTCCGCAGCCTCGGCGGCCTCCCTCTTCAGGCGCTCCTCCTGCAGCTTTGCAGCTGCCTCGGCGGCCTCCGCGGCTTTGATGTTTCGCCTGTCTTCGGCCGCTCTCGCAGCAGCGAGCTCTGCAGCCCTCGCTGCAGCCCTGGCAGCCTCCGCCGCTGCCTGCTCAGCCCTTGCAGCATCCGCGGATGCCAGGAACTCCTGCACTCGTCTGGCTTCTGCCCGGACTTCTTCATTCGCCTCGCAAGACAAGCAGTCCGGCGTCCCCCGGCCGCCAAATCCCAAGGCCTAAGCTTCTCAACTCGGAGACTTCAAATCATTTGAGACTCTGAGACCTTTGAGGTCAAAGCTTGATGCAGAGACAGCCGTAACACTGCCCAAAAAATGCATTTATAAGGACCACTCAAGGCTTGGCTTGTGGCTTCTGGGTGGCTCCCAGACGGTTACCTCGTGTTAACACCAAACCCTAGCAACCCTGAATCGTCGAAAATAAAAAAAGTAAACCCCTGGTTTTCCGATGAAAGTTCTTAGATGCGAGCACGAAGACCCTGAACCCCAGAGCTCCAAGGACCCGATAAACGGTTGAACACCTTTATGGGCTCTATGCGGACCTGTCTTACAGGGATTCCAAGAAAAGAATCCTGGGATTCGAAAACACAAAAAGCCTGACCTGGTCAACCGTCCGCTGCAGCAGCGTCACCACTCGCATGTCACCTTTTATGGGAGCATCCAAGGAAGGCGGCAGAGCAAAGACCAGATGGGTTCTGCCTCATGGTGAACTTTCTAGGATGCCGCAGACAGGACTATTTTGTTGCTTCTGTTGTAACTCATCCGACCATGTTTCATTCGTTGTTCAACGGCCCCGAGTTCGAAGCGTACTCGTGAAATCAACGCTAAGACCAGGCCCCCACTTCTCGCACAAACACGAGAGCTGCTCAAGCGAGATGGATCTCCATTCGAACGGGAAGCATTGCAAGTTGTGCTATCATCGCTCGTGTGGCATTTTTGCCACTTCCGTGGCGTAGGCAGTGGCAGCAAAGCGAGCAGGCTTCCACCAACAAAAAAGGCACAAGCATGGAAATGTCCAAGCCAATTCCAACAAGCAACACTCTTTAAAGTGTGTTGTTGAGATTCGCGATCGGATACACCAACTTCTAGATTCTAGAGTTTAGGTTAGGGTGGTGGGGCTTTCTAGGCACACCTGGCCTTTCTGGACGGCGTAGTGCAGTGCCGAACGGCCAAAGCAGTCCGCCTGCACGCAAGGGCATCCATTCGCATCATATGCGCAGGGGAGCTTGTCAGGCTTTGGCTTATCTCACACCTGCCAGACTTGGCAGCTGGACCTCAATGTCAGCAAGAGCAGGGTTCAACACAAACAAGTACTAAGATGTGAAGGCTGGTTTCTCCACCATGCTGCTGCTACTGGCACTGCTGCTGCGCTTGCTCTCCTTGCAGCTGGTATTGTTGCTGGCTGGTGTCGCTGTGCTGACTGCCGCTGCGATCGGTGATGGTGCTTTTCGTTCCCTGTGTTAGCTGTTGATGTCGCTACATCGTTGTATAGTGGTACCTTTGGTTTGGACGATGTGATGGTGGTGGCCACTACCTATCCTGCTGCCGATGTTGTTGGAGCTTGCTGTGTGCATTGCTGTTGATTGCATTGTTGTTTTATGTTTTGGGTACGGTGGACTTGTTGACGATAATCGGAAGCCCGCCTCAGTAGGGCTGCACTTCATCTCCAGCAGGAGCCTCACAATCTCCAGCTTCTCTTCTTCCTTGTTGTTGTCCATGGCGTGGAAGAGAGCATTGCGGCCCTGCTTATCCTGTCACAGAAGATGGGGCTGCACTTTGCAACTCTGAGGCTCCGAAGCCTGAGGACCCTCACGCATGACCCCAAACCCATAGTCCTAAAGCACACTTTTCTTCACCAAACCATGGCCTTGAGGAAGACCAGAGCCCGGCTGAAACAAAGCAGGTCACGCACAATCTCCACACTGCTGGTGCATGCCTGAGGTTGTCTGGACATCAGGCGAACAAAAGGGCCCTGCCCTTAGAATAAGGTTTAGGGTTTAGGGCAAAAGGGCCCTGCTAATTTGAATAGAGCAATTGGTGTCTGTGACAAGGAACGCGAGGGATGGTAATACGAATTGCTTAGGCTTCTTTATTACCCCAACCTCCCCGACAGCCATGGGCATGCGCACCACAACCACCCGACTTTGGCCTGGCGCCACGAGATTAGCACGGCTACATGGATCTCCGTCGACCGACAAGGGCCAAAACCTTGAACTCAACCATGAAGACAATGCCTCCAGAAGCTTCAGAGAAAGTCCCCCCCTCCGCTTTGCAACAACAGGCTTTCGGGCGCGGGAGAGGTAAGAGTTTGGGATCTGATCGTATGAACAGTTCGGCATCAAGATCCACCGTGCAGCTGCCGGCGAACGAACAATTTTGTCAGATTTGCGTCCCGTGGCTTTTGTCGGTATCATGCCGTGTCTGGGTGCTCTGCTGAATGGACCTTTTATCATGCTGCCACGAGGACCGGAAAGCAGCATCTGTTTTGGGATGATCGTGTGTACGTTGCTTCTGCAATTTTTTCTGTTGACTACCTTGGACAGACTTCAAAGTGTATTCGATGAGAAAACATCCCGAGACAACCCTGGACAGCATTAAACCTCAAACCCCAAATCCTCAACACAACCATCGCTGTCGTGATCAGCGCGGCAGTGGGAATCTACCAGCCGCCAAGGTACCAGGTGAAGGGCAGTCCTCAGAGAGATCCGCTTCGGGCTTCTGAGGGGTTCAGGGTGTAGAGTCGGTCTAGGCTCTCACAACTCGGACACACCTCATGAGGTCACGGCACTTGAGTGGTGCAGGGTTCGGAGTCCAGTTTGGAGTGGAAAAGGTGGGAATACCACAGGTCTGAGGAAGGATTTGAGGCTTCCGGCGTCAGGGCTCCAGGCCCTGTTTGGACTTGGGGTGTGAGACCTGCGGGCTCTAAGGCTCTAAGCTGTTGTCTGTAGCACACGTCCCACAACATCTACCGACACAGTGCATATTTGTGTAGAATACATGTAATCACAGTTATCACACGCATTTCTGTGTCTCTCTGTGTCTGTACTTTGAAACATACGGGTCATGAGGCAAGAGGGCGCCGGGCAGGTGCGTGGACAGCAAGATACACAGTTACGGGAAGAGCGGGAGTGAGCGAACAGCCTGGGACACAGAGATCGAAACACAGAGAGAACCCGCGAAGAAATTGCTGCAGTCTGAATGCCCGTAACGGCTCAAAACAAAGGGAGGGACTGCAAACTGGGCAGGAGCACTGGTACAGGATTAGCCGACGTCGTCCTCGTCGCTGTCGCAGTACTCAGTACTCATCGTAGTGATGGTGGTGGTGGTGGTGTAGTAGCATCAGTAGTAGCAGCAGGTCTGGTCCTGGCTATGGTGCTGGCCGACAAAGCAGTAGCAGTCTTGACTATGGCGCCAATAGGGATAAAAAGCTACCACCAAAGCAGACTGTGACCTCACTGGGAGTAAGTTCAACAATTCGCAAATGGGCAGCGCTGAACCATAATCAATCTATTAAGTCATCTTTCCAACACGGGCAGAGATGACACCGATTCGTTGCGATTAGGTCTTTCTCCATGATTCCACCACAACACCGTTGCCTTCGAAGGCCCTGCTGCTGTCTCGGTCCCTTGCTCAAGGAATTTCCGCCCAAGCAGCCGGCCATATTCGTCCGTCTGCTGTGGGAGGACTCCGTGCTCTAGCAGGCAACGCGCCACGTAGCGATGGCCGTACAGACAGGCCGAAGCTAAAGCGATGCGGCCAAGTCCTGGCTTTCAATACGGCAGAAGCGGGCGGGCTCTGAACTTGTCGTGCCAGCCCTACCTGTTTCCTGGCAAAGGCTGGATCAAAGCTGTACCGTCTAGCAACAGCTGTGGCAGCCACAGCGGTCTGGAGTACCAGTTGGAGTTGTGGAGCTTTCGTTACATGAAGGCCTCGGGTTTTGGAGTGACCTTCGGGTTTTACTTTCTCGAAGAGACCACCGTAAGCCTTGAAGCCCTCCACACGAGCCCGGGCCTTAGTCCACAGTATCCCATCCTTGCCGCAGCCCGAAGCCTCATTATCAATGGTATGAGCCTCCTGGGGAACGAAGACTGATGTGCCCCTTCAGGAGCAGCGCGCAAACCTTCCCAGGCATGATAGCTATTGATAGCTGACAATGAATTCACAGCCCCGGCTCCCCACCACACTCGGCAAAGCCTTGTACCTTATAGCTTTCGGGGCTTTCGTCTTGAGGTTTTGAACGAAACTTTGGCTTCAGTCCCAAATCTTTGGATCGTAAAACACCGCAGACCAGAACTGTGACGAGCCGTCAAAGCATCTCGGAGCGTTCAGTGCTCTGTGAAGGGAAAGCTCGGCCCTTTCTCTTCTGCAGCTGGTATGATACAGTATAGTGTGACATGACTTGAGCTCGTATAGCACATAAGAAATTACAGTGCAGCATGATACAGCATAGCACAGTAGTACAGTGTCAAAACAGTGTTGATACAAGCTAGCCGCCAGCCTCGGCGCGGCCATACCTCACCGCCGTCATCAGTGCCAGCTCCTTGTCCTGAGGTGGGACTGTGGGCTCTGGGCTGAGGTCGGGAAACTCCAATTGTAAACAGGACTTCAAGATGTACAGTCCGAAACCCGGCTGAAACACTTTGTCTGCTCCTGTCTTGAATATGAAACTTTTGAGGGCTTTGGGAAGGCCGAAAGCATGCAGCTCGCAAGGCCCCACAATCTTCAAAGTCCCCTCGCCAAAAGGAAGTGTCCTCCTCCGTAGCAAAGCGGAGAAGACTTTGCAGCTCCATGACGTCACCTCTCAAGGATTTTAAAGCCCTGTGCCAGGCTGTTATATTTCCCTTCCTGAATAATTAGTGCAGGCTTTCGAATGTACGCAGATAGGCGAGCAACTTCTATTTGCGACAAGCTCTGACGATGCAAAGGGTTACGATTCTAGCGAAGAAGACAAAGCCCTGACTGCTGCCGCTACCTCCGCCAGCTGTGACTACGATGAGTGCTGCCGCTTGCACAGGCACGAACGTAGCACCCGCGATGTTTGTACTTCTGCTCTTTGCAAGAACCAGGTGCAGCCACATTAAGTGGAATCACTATATGCAACAGAAACGAACTCGTTGCCACCGTATATGTCTACAGCAGGCAAAAACCAAGCAACGCAGTCATAACAAAAGGCCATCAGCACAATCACAATTGCAAGCAGAATCACGAGACGAAAGATGCGCTATGGCACCCGGCGCCATCATGATCATCGCCGCTTTCGCCACGACCACCATCAGCCGCAATGCCCAAACGTAAACCCGTTGGCAAAGAGCCAACTCTTCCAGTACATGTAAAACTCACAAACACAAGTTTCTCTCTCCCAAGCAGAATGAACCCAAGCCCTTAAAAAGCTCAAGTCGCCGCACTAGTCAGGCCTTGGACGGCCGCCCCCAGAATCTTTCTGCAGATCCCAGTGTGCACCTGGAACTGAGGGGTTAAGGCTTTGAGAATTTAGTTTTGGGTTCAAGGTTTCGGAACACTGAATCCCCTATAATCCCGTGCCCGCCGGAATACCTGCGCTGCTGAAGCCTTCGACTCGTAGTGGTTTTCTGAGACTTCCTTTATTGAGAAAACGAGCTCAGAGTGATATTGACTATTGCAAGCCATTGGCTTGTGCACTTTCGGGTCGAACTTAATGAATTCTAAAGGTTGACTGGTGAGGACTGATGTGCTAGCTAGCAGGCCTGGGAAGAACTTCAAACAATTCTTCGGTGCACTTGAGGCCATCGTCATGTCATCTTTGTTATGCAGCCACTTCGCAAGTGAAACTCATAGGAAATGTCCCAAGTACGCCTAGGCGCATTGGTCCTCAACTGAAAAGCCCTTTTCCCTGAACCCTATGCCACCTTAAGGGCACCATGATGGGTTAGATTTCGAGGTCAACCCTGCAGCCTTGTCGGTCGAGAGTGCTTTCTCTTGGCGGCCTGGTGCCCGGACACCGCTGCAGCTTCAAATTCCGAATCTCAACAACTCTTGGCTGGTCCAAAAGGGCTTACGGAATGTTGTCGGTCCTGGTTCTTGAGGCAAGACTTAATAAGCATGCTCAAATGAACGATGCCAGTTAGTTTCAGAAAGAACCCGTCCTGCATCAACGACCAGGCTGCCATGGCTTTGGCTGCGACTCAAAGCGCCCGTGTCCCAGTGCACCCTTTTGCCAGACGCTCCACAATCCCAGGCAGATGAGGACCTTGATGGGGACAAGTCCAGATCAAGCTGCACTTCCAGCCTGCGCAGGTACTGTGAGAAAACGGATCGTGGTGGGGGAGAACGTGCTTTCTGTGCAGCATGCTGTGCCTTAAAAATAAGTATAGATGTTTATGTACGCGTAATGTATGTGCGTGCATATGGATCTTTACCAGTACGTATGTTCATGTGCATTTGCATGCGCGTGTAGGTGTAGATGTCGAGATATACGTAGATGTACATATACTTGTATGCAGGCACACGCACAAAGAACAGGTACGGCCGTGTGTCCGTGACACATGCAGATGCACGTCCTCTGTTCCAGGCCCGAAAGCCTAAACCACACATCCTGTCAATCAGCTTGTTCCTTTTAACCCTCTACTCCAAAACACCCGATAAACCCCAAACCCGCCTCCTCGCTGGCTGCTGCGCAGCACGCCGCTGCCGAGCCAACTCCACCGGGGTCCACCGCATCTTGCCAAGACTTTTTGAGGTT